CCACTGAGAATACATGGATATATTTTGTGCCACCCAGCGTGCTCCTGAACCACTGAGAATACATGGATATATTTTTTCCAGGCACTATATTGGGGCCAAAAAGCTGAACAGAACATGACATTTCTTCTTGGGGAGTTTAAGAGTCTTTTAAAAGAGCACATATCTGATCATTTACAGAATTATTCATAGTGCAACGAGGTATGTTTGGAAAAAGCACCACCTAATTAAATGAATGTAAAATGTTTTAAATGGAAGAAATTACTTTGCCTTTAGGGAATATTCTTCAAAGATAAAACTTACCAAACACAGGTGTTCTCTGAAAAGGGAAGAAAAAAATGCAGCTCACATGCTCTCTGAGGTCAGGGTCTATTTTTTTTTTTCTTTCCCTACTTATGTCTCCAGAACCTGGCAGAGTAGCTAGCATATGGTAAATGTTCAGATAATAGTTGTTGAACAAAGACAATCCTAATAGGATAGAGTTACTAAGATTTCTTGGTTTGCTCTGGGGGCTCTTTCTCTCTCAGACTACACACCCTGGATCTTAGCACCTTAATTCTGATGAATCAGGGATCATAGTGGTGGGCAAGGTGACATGAGGTGGGGTGAGAAGGGTGAGGGGTGTATGTGTGTGAGTGGGAGGGAAGAGTAATGGCACAATGGTAATGTCACACAGATCTGAGCACCAGATGGTAGACAGTAACACTCAAGGTGAAGCAACCACCTGGTGATCAAAATCCTGCCTCCTTTGGGCAGTGGAAACTTTGACAAACCTGGGGACACGACAGAGTCTAGATACCATGCTATGGGTGTATATACATTTCTATATATACATTTCTTATTATATGCTCACACACAAACACATACACAAAGACAACAGGAAAATAGAGGAAGGAAGACCATACCTTTAACTACCCTATCCAGATAGTGAGCTTGGGAGATAAAAGACAGGACATTTAAGTAGGATTAATGAGGGCAATACTGCCTGTCACATAACCATGCCAGGTGCTAAGGAAACCAAGGGGATGTCTCCACGCTTGGGGCAGACCTCTGTCATAGTGAGGCAAATAAAACTAGAGACAGGACAACACAAGAGAGAAGGAGGGAGAGCAAGCACATTCTCCATGAAGAGTTAAGGGGCACTTCAACTCATTCAGGAATTTGAATATGTGATCGTATAAACAAGAAGACATATGGATAAGGAAAACAGAAGAAAGAGGGGGATGGGTAGCTGCAAACATGGCCACACTCCTGCTCTATCAGGTTTGGTTCAGTTTTATGGAAAACCAGAATTTGCCCCTGTGTGTTTCTGAGGACAATATCGTCCCTCGCTTTATAGGAAAGAATTGTGCCAAGACCAAGTGCATCCTGCCTGAGAAAAGGTCTCAAGAAGCAGGAATATAGCAATATGAAAAATGTCAATCATTTCTGATAAGCACTTGGTAAAGCTGGTTCTCTTGAGATCTTTGACCAAATATACTGCTAGGTTTTCCAATGGCCATTCTTGACTTTTCTATGTACAGGTATGCTCATGTATCCTTGAATGCAGAGGGCTTGGTGTTGTAAGTAAGATGCATTCATCTTCTGTGCATCTTACACAGAATGCATGGTGCCCCTCAATGGATGTAACTATAAAAACCAAGGAAAAGAAAAAGAACACCTGACTACTTCTAATGCTCATTAACATAAAAGAAACCAGGATGGATAGGTTGGTTTTCAATGGAGGGGCTCATGTCCAAGCACTGAATTAGTCGTCAATCTAAGGTTTTGCTTATTTGTGAGGCTGTATGTCAAACGCTGCTCTGAAATAAATCCTACTGTGTGTTTATATAAAGGAGCCTGTTGGCAATGAGGGCTAAGCATCAGGCTGCTGACTGAAAAGATGGTGGCTCAAGCCCTCCAGCCACTCCATGGGAGAAAGATGAGGCTGTCTGCTCCTATGAAGATCTGTTGTGGTTGTGGTTTGTGATATCAAATGGGCTCCGAATCATAGCATAGGGTTTCTGAGAGCAGCTGGTGGGTTTGAACTGCCGACCTTGGGGTTACCAGTCCAGTATGTGTCCTACAGTGCCACACCAGGGTAAAGATTCACAGCTGCAGAAACCCACAGGTATAGTTCCACTCTCTTCTACAGAGGGTTTCTATGAATCAGAATCTACTCCATTGCAGTGGACTTTGTTTGAATTGAGTGTATAATGTGGATATGTGTTTAAAATAGGGCAGACATGTTCATCGCTCTCAGTTTAAATATGCAATGCTTTTCACCTTCCCCAACTAGGCTGAAGACATAGCTGTTTGAGACACTTCCTTCCCTTTTACCCTCTGCCTACAGTTCTCCCATGTGCTCCCATAAACACTAGACAGTCAGCAATCTCCTGAAGGGTCTGATGTCTTCTGGCAGGCTAGACCCATTCTCAACTTCATTTCACACATGAATCAGAAGGCCATAAAAGAAGACTGGGTTGCAGTGGTGTGGCCTCATATGAAAGCCCTAGAGTTCTATAACCTGTATGAACATTCTTATTCTTTTCAGAAAAAATATATGTTTTATTTTTTCAAACCTCTGTTGTTGTTCATCAATATATATTTGCCTCAAAAGTCTGCTTCATGAGAGGCCTTGTTCTTAGTTTGGGTATCATATGGTGTCTGCCTCAAGACGAAATATGCTTGTGGAGAATGCTCAGCCAAATGGATCATTGGGAAGTGAGACTTTTGAGTGGTCCTGCATGCAAACAGCAGGATATAAGAAAGGGAAAAGTGAAGGAGAGTGACTTACTATGCAGGAATATATAAATAAACCTGTGGAATAAAAAAAAGAATGAAAAATTAGGGGCAGCCCACATGAAGAACAGCCTAGGGAAATGTCTGGCTAAGGGACAGTCTTCTATGATTCTTGTTTCATCTGTGATTTTAGTCTTAGTCAAGGTTATTTATCTCATTTTGCAAAGTGGTCTGAGATTTCTTAGACATCATCTCCAGGGATATGTCATCTAAAAGCAATAGCACATAGGATCTTCCTGGCTTAGTTGGACTGAATGATGTTTTTAGCTTTCAGATCTGCACAGGTTTTTGGATAGCCATAATCATAAATTCTTGTAACAACTCCAAACTCAGCTAAATAAAAGATGGTGCGAGCCTAGATTTCTATCACAGGGTTGGCAAGGACGACTAGGTTGGATGAGACACCATCATCAGGATCCAAATGGTCACACCATCAAGCAACAAACACTTTGAGAGAGTTCTCTGGCAAGGAAATCTTCTTTGATTGTCTTTAAACTTAATAGTGGTCTCAAGGCTCTGGTGATCATGAGGATTATATCAAATCTATTGGATAGTCTCTCCAAACCCTGGGGCTAATTTTAGAAAGCTCTCTCTTTTCTAATGCTATTTCATTTTCAAGAAGTATACTAAAGCAAAAAATTGGTTAAATATAAACACAATTTCAATACCTTTAAAAAATAATGCATACTAGTTATTCAGGCCCAAGGTAGAAAGACCAACCAATGGGAGAGCTTGAGGCATGTGCAGACTGCAATCAACATGGTGGGTTTTCAGGAGACAAGAGTGCTTATTTAAAACCTCAACTCTTGATTCACTTCTAAAGAGCATTTTGGCTGTACTTTTTCTAAGACAGATTTGTTTACTCTTCTTGTAGTCCATGGTACTTTCAATATTCTCAGCCAGCACCCCAATTAAATGCATCATTTCTTCTACGGTCTTCCTTATTCATTGTCCACCTTTCACATGCATCTCAGGTGACTGGAAATGCCATTTCTTGGATTCAGGTGTACCTTGGTCCTCAAAGTGTTACCTTTGCTTTTTAACACTAAAGAGATCTTCCAGTGCAAACGTCTTTTGATTTCTTGATTGCAGCTTCTATGAACATTGATTGTGGATCCAAGTACAAAGAAATCCTTGACAACTTCAATCTTTTCTCTACTAATCATGATGTTTTTATTGGTCCAATTGTGAGGATTTTTGTTTTCTTTACATTGAATTATAATCCCATACTACAAGCTGTGGTCTTTGATATTCATTGGTATTTCAAGCCCTCTTCACTTTTAACAAGCAATGTTGTATCATCTGCATACCACAGGTTCTTAAAGAGTATTCCTTTAATCCTGATGCCACATTCTTCTTAATATAATCCAATTTCTCTATGTGCAGGAGCAAGTTTCAGAGTATCTTCTGATATCCACTTTGGTCTTTTCTTTCTTGTCTTTTCTGTGACCTTTTGCTTTCTTCAAGCATGATTTTTTTTATGTCATTCCATGACTCCATTGGTTTTAGTGCTCAACGTATCAAATCCTTTCTTAAGATGTTCTCTAAATTCAGGCTGTATTTTGATTCTTGTGGACTTGTTTTAATTTTCTTCAAATTTAGCCTGATCTTGAATATGAGCAAAAGATGGTCTGTTCCACAGTCAGCCCCTGCCCTTGTTTGGCTGATGATATTGAGCGTCTCCATCATTGTTTCTTCTCACAAATGTAGTCAATTTGATTACTGCGTACTTTTTCTGTTGTGATCTCTGTGTGTATTCTCCCTCTCTTTTTTTTTGAAACAGGTGTTTTTTCTGTGGAGGTGTCGTGGGTTTTGCAACTCTTTTCTTCTGTTCTCTCCTGTGTTTTTTCTCTCCCCGGTGTTATTTTTTGCGTTTTGATCTTTTTTCTTTGTTTCCAACTTTTGCATTCCAATCACTGATAATTATCAATTTTTTTTTTTTTAGGGGTTGTACTTGATGAAAACATTTTTATTTTGGGTGTGTGTGTAGGAGAGTAAGGGATTGGGTTAGGGTTAAGGACTATGGCTAGGTCTAGGCTAGGCCTAGAACATCATTTAGTGTTAGTACTAGGATTAGTGTTAGGGGTAAGGGTAAGGCTTGGTCTCAAGTGGAGAAAAGATTAAAGTTGTCAAGGATTTAGGGTTACATTTAGGTTTATTATTATTTTTTAAATCTACTTGATTTCTTCTTTATTTGGAAGTTCTGCAATTACATTATTCTTTTTACTTTGTGTTTTGCTGCTGCTGTTGTTGCAAACTGATACCTCTGGTTCCCTATTTTTAGTCTTGTAGGTTTGATTTACTTCTATATCTAAATTGGGAGTCCTGATATGGCATTGTAGGATAAGAAATGAACTGATAATCACGAGGTCGGCAGTTCAAACTCACCATCTGCTCCTCGAAAACCCCACACTGGGTCGCTATGAGTCAGAACCGACTTAATGGTATTCAAGAACAACATATCTAGATTGAGTTCTGGGTGATATTGTCATGTCTGTTAATCTCAGGGTGTTGTCTACTGTTATTCGCTCTCTAGTCAAAGAACTCCCATTCGTATCTTTTGTAAGGTTGGTCTGATTTTCATAAATTCTTTTAATTTCTGTTTACCTGGGAATGTCCTAATTTCATTGTCACATTTGAAGGGCAGTTTTTCTGGGTATATGATTCTTGGTTAGACTCTTGGTGTGGCACTATAGGATGAGCACTAGACTATGAACCACAAGGTCAGCAGTTCAAACCTACCAGCTGCTCCTCGGAAGCCCTATACAGGGTAGCTATGGTTTGGAACTGATTTGATGGCATTTAACAACAAATTTTCCAAGATTCATACTGTACGCAGTCCACATTCCGATGACTAATGGATGTTTGCAGGTGTTTCTTCTCATTTTGAGTTGTGCTCTATCAACAAATGAAAGTCCAGAAAGCTTTGTTCCATCAATGTCATTAAGACGGACTCTACTTAGGGGGAGACAGTTCTTCCTCAGTTGTATTTTGAGTGCCTTCTAATGTGAGGGGTCTCCTCTTTCAGCACTATACCAGACAATGTTTTGCTGCTATTCATAAGATTTTCAGGAGTTTATCCCTCAATAACAGACTGCCTGTTGCTTCTTCCTTCTTTGCACTTAGTCTGGAAGCTCTGCTGAAACCTGTC